GGCCCCATCCATGTAATATATTTTTAAACTTTTAGTTTAAAAATGATAAAAACTGAACATCCTACAGTATTTTTAGTCTTTATTTTACAGTTAAAATATATGTTTATCAAATAAAGTCTAATGTTACAACTAATCATGGATCCCTTTAACAGTATGAGGGAATATTTAGTTCATGGACTGTACTGTGTTAATCTGCTGTTTCATCTGCAGCCATAAACATAGTTGCAGCAAACTGTACCTGAGATGCGAATGAGGGTAATTCTCCCAAAGGCTGCTGGGATGCAGGAGGTACCCTTCCTGTAAGAGGGAAATTGAGAAAAAGACAACTTAAATCTCTGAAAACGCAGATACAGAGTCACATCAACACCTCACCCACTGTTATCAGGATGTAGAAGCTCCACACACTCGACACCAGGTGAAACACACACAGTTGGCCCGACTCGTTAAACTTTGTGTTCTTGCTCTTGGAGAGGTGAAGACGGCGGTTCACTTTCTGTAATGAGAGCGAGACAGCAGATCACGGGACACCTGATCCTGCTGTAGTGGCTGACAGAGTCATTGTCATGCACAAGCAAATGTCACTGTTGAAAAAATAAAAAAGTAGCAAGTAGGCCAAGAAAACAGCAGATACTATTTCTACCTGCTGAAAATAAATCTGATCTGAGAACAGATTCCTTTCAAGACTTAAATAACACATTCCTCCACACTGGCTCTTTTCAAACTAACTACAATCATACATTAAATAAAACATATTTCTGTCAATGTAAGCATTTTTGGGGGGCAGATTTAAAAACGATACTTGAGACATTTATTATTTTTTTCTATGCAGTGTGATTCAAACTGTCCACCGCTTCAGTTCATTTGAATGTAAAAACCCATGAGAGGAAACGATGCCTCACATCCTGGTTTCAGTGGACAGAATAAAGTTTCATTGCAATCTAAATAACGTACTTGTGTTTCACTTTTGGAACTAAAATACGGTAAAGTATATTCAATATGAAATGTCTTTTTTTTTTTTAAAGGGCTAAAAACTAATTAGTTTAGAAATATTGTAATGTTTTAGAGGGAAGGTCTATGAAATTTATTACAAATTACGCACCAAATTCTTTTTTTACCTTTTCCAAAGCCATTCAGGTCTTTTAATTTATAGTATACATTTCCTGAAAATACAATTTCCACCCTTTTGTTATTCTGCTGTATTGTGGCAGACASACAGTAACTTACATCCAGGAGATACTCCTGCACCACAGCGTGGAGGATGATGGCGATGAAGAAGTAGAAGAGGATGGTGGCGCAGTCCTTCCAGCCGTACTGATACGTGGTCACCTCCCTCTCTGAGCACACATGGGCGGGGCGACGGACATGTAGAGCAACATATTAATCACCTTCGTTAAACATCCTGGATTGTTTTTTTATAGAACCAGGAATGAGACAGTAGCATGGTGACAATGTGTTCAGTAAAAGCAGAAGTGAAATTTTGCCAGCTGTAAGAGTCAAAAATAAAGAACTGCACTGTGATTTCACAATAAAATAACAATAATAATAATAATAATAACAATAATAACTAGACATGGGTTTTTACGATGTAAAAACAAGTGTGCATTGCCACGTAGCATGTCATTGCAGCATGGCTTTGCATGCAGCATTGGACTTGCAGAATGAACTTTGACCAAGTTCAAATGTGTTTTCTATACCAGCTTGTGCCTGTCACGTCAGCAGGTGTTTTTAATTAAGTTAATTGTGTGACAATATGAAATTTGAAGAGATTTTTGTTAAAGTTGCTTTAGCTGGGTTTTGAACCCTGATCTCCCAAATGAAAGTCCATGACATAGACCATTAGACCAATGGAGCTGTGGCAGAAGGCAGTGGCAAGGATTGGTTTATATGTGTGCAGAAAGAGGCCACATTGCCAATACAATTATTGACACAAACCTGCATAATATTACAACAATAGAGCAGTATTAAGACAATATTATAGTAAAACAACAAAATACAATCATGTTAGTATTGTAAACGCTGAACAATTGAGATTAAATATTATTAAAGTATGGAGCAGTACCAAGTTGAGTCCAGCATGGGGCAGTATTGGACCATTACATGGCACCATTTACTCCCATTATATGAATTTTGGAATAAAGTTTAAACATTAATATTTCAAAAACTATAAGTTTTACAGGCACCAAAAGGCATAGCCATCATTTGGCACAGGGGCTTTACAGATATAAATTACAATGGCAGCTCTAGGACAAAGTATGCAGGAGGAGAAGCATGGCAAAGTTGAGATTACTTGGATGGGAAACGAATCACAATAGTGTGCATTGCATTTGGCAATGCACACTGATAATACAGTTGACACCTCGTACCTGGTGTTAATGTGGTGATGTTGTACTGAGGCTGAATGAACAGTATGGCCGACTTTGCCGTTGCCTGAAAAAGTAATAAAAATATTGTTAATGTTAGTGTAGCATGAGGGGGCTTTTACAAGTCCGTGCCCAGGACCCCTTTATATTTTAATCAGTCCGTGGTTGGAAAACAAAATGAAATAAAAAGCAGAAAACTCTCATATTTAAGCAATTAAAACCACAGGGCTGCACGATATATCGAACATTTATCATCACATGAAGCATCGTTTTCCTGATTTTGTGCAGTCTGAGTTATGATTGGCCTTTGGGTGACTTAGAAATGTTAACTGATACTTGTACTTTATTTAATAAAATAAAATAAAAATCCCAACTGAGTTCTTAACAGTAAAAGTCGCCTATTTTTGTTTAATTTATTTAGAATGAGACCTAAAACTAAGCCTCTGGTTCACAACTAATAAAAAGTTGTTCCCTTTTTCAAATACCAAAGGGACAAAAAAAAATCAAGGGAATCCCCTTATTTTGTTTTCAGTTCGATCAGCTGTGTGATTACAAGCAGGTTTCCGGATTGAAAGTTTAAATGTCCACGAGGTGGACTACAAGCACGCGCAGTGAAAACAGTTAACCCGGGAAACTTTAACTCAAAGCACTGAACGTCAGTGATGAACTCGCTTCGGGTCAGAACGGTCTAACTGGAAAGCTGAACCCACAAGTAGCCAGAAGCAGCGGCTCGAACATTGAGACGTGGCAGTAACGTTAGCATCGAGCTAGCGSCATAAAAACAAACTGTTTCCGGTTAAGCTTTTCAAAATAAAACTACGGCCTGGCCATCGCGCGTTCTTATTATAGACAGAATAGCTAGTGCTTTTATTTTGAATGTACRAAAACATCTACTTCCTCTGATTTTCGCTGCGCTGATAGACAAAAAGTTGGGAATAAAATGTTGCAGCAGACAGTTTGCTGGAAATATTGTGTGAAATGAACAAAATATGAATATTAAACAGGAGGAAGAAAAAAGTTAAATGAAGTACTTTAGTTAAACAATGTTTCAGACACCCCGAAAAACGAACTCGGAGCAAGGCGCCAAAYACTTTTATTTTGTAAAGTAGCAAACGTAAATAAATCATACAATCAGTTGAGCCTTGCAGTTTTCTTTTGCACCTTTAAAGGAGATTTAAATCAGCGTCGCTGGTCGTTGATCAGAACAAAAGCTGTAAAAGAAAACTGCAGCACAGAAAGCAGGCATTTCTCCAGAACTGATTAAAAGAAATCTTAAAAGAATAAACATTTTCTCCACCAGAGGATTTATCGATTCAGACCGGAGGCGTTTCACGTTAAATCGGAGTTTTCTAACAGACAAACTTGTAGCGTAAAAACAGCTGAGACGAGAAAAAGTTGAGGAGAAGAAGAAAAAAAAACAGAATCAGAGTTCATCTCACCTCAAACATCAAGCCAATCAAAATGAAAATCACCAAACTGAAGACGATGTCGGCGTGGTTCTGAATGAGGAACTCCTGGCTGAAGAAAGGGTAACTCTTGTTTCTTCGGCGGAACGCCATGTCAAACTCACTGATTTTATTAATCACAATTTTTTTCTCTTCTGCCTGCGAAGTTCAGGAGTTAACTTCGGCGGCGGTGTGCGCATGCGCCAATTCTTAAAGGGCGCGCGCCACAAATACCTCCATGGCCATTTACCGTTTCCGTTTTCCAGGTCGCAAAAAGGAGTGGAAGGTAATTAAACGCTTCAGATTTTACACAATTACTATAGTACAACTCTAATTACTTGGATTTTCATACGTAAAGTATTTGATATTTTATTATTCAAAACCTTAATTTTAGAAAATGTATTTGTTTACTTTCATTTCGCATGTGAAATAATGCTACTTTTCATTTTAGTTAGTTACCTAAAGACTCTGTATGTACGACGGAGAATTAGGGCCACATTACGAGTTCTTTAAATTATTATTACGAGATTAAAGTCGTAATATTGTGATTTTAAAGTCGTACTATTATGAGAATAAAGTCATAATATTACGAGATTAGTCATAATATCTTACGAGATTAATGTCGTAATATTATGAGAATAAAGTCGTAATGTTACGAGGATAAAGTCATAATATTACAAAATTAAAGTCATAATATTACGAGAATAAAGTCGTAATATTACGAGAATAAAGTTGTAATGTTACGAGAATGAAGTCATAACATTACAAGATTAAAGTCGTAATATTACGAGAATAAAGTTGTAATGTTACGAGATTAGTCGTAATATTACGAGAATAAAGTCATAATATTACGAGATTAGTCGTAATATTACGAGAATAAAGTCATAATATTACGAGATTAGTCGTAATATTACGAGAATAAAGTCATATTATTACAAGATTAGTCGTAATATTACGAGAATAAAGTCATATTATTACAAGATTAGTCGTA